TTCGTACCTCTTTCCACGAATTGTGACAAAATGATTTATTCTTGATATAATTATAAAGTTTATATACTTTCAGAACTTTATTTATCAAACTTTATTCATTTTTCTTTATCCTTTATTGATCAGTAAAATTCTCATAATCATCTCATGAAAAGATGTAGACAAAAATGTTCAAATTTTATACGCAACGGTTTATTACTCATCCACATTGAAGGAATTCAGAGCTGGTGGACTTCTTAAATAGAAACAAGCCTTACCTCCTCTATATCTAAATAATAATATTTATTAGTAAGGACCATAGTGGCGTAGCCGGCAAGGTGGAGGCGGCGTACCCCCCCCCCCACCTTGTTTGAAGGCTCATACATCACAACCGTACGGGGCCGCTAAGAGTACGATAATAGCAGTAATAAGTAATAATAATTGATGATAACTGTATCTTATTTACCTATAGGGTAACCACATCAGTCACACTGCTATCCTGCGGGCCCTGCAGTTGTTATTACCCCCAGCATTGACTGGTACTCATTTACACACCCAGGTGGAGTGTGGCAAAATGTAGATTAACGTCGTAATGCCAAAAACACGTTAATGCCGGGCTTGGATTTGAACCCTCAACCCTTTGATTAAGAGTCAAGTGATTGAAACACTATATACTCCACGATACCTCCATACACTCTACCTCCCCCGTTGAGGTGGGCCCCTCCCTACCCCGTCTAACTATTTCTGGATATGCTACTGGATCACATGACAAACAAAAAAACAAAAACAAAATTTAAAAAAATAAATCAAATTTTGAATTAAAACTTTGTTTATTCGAATGCATTATTATAACCGTGATTTTTTCTTCTTCACGGGTGATAGATGTTTTCCCCCTTCACGGGGACAATCAAAAAGGTTTCCCCACCTTTATGGTATTGCGCTCGATATCATTTTGACATGATTTGTCAGCACAGGTTAAAAAAACAGTCTCACACTAAACCTGAAAATATTCGTATGACAAGAATATTGTCTGGAAATATTATATCCAGGGTATGCTGTAAACGGATAAATTCTCTGTAATTATATTTCGAAAGTCAAATGATGGTCATTGGCAAATCTTCCCTGGCGAACAAACTTTTGAGCAGGATATTGCGAGTATACCAGGGATCGAGACACATACACGTGACAACAGTACTGTTCAACTCCATCCATGGCATAGAATATCAATACAATTATATCAAACTGCCTGTCCTTAATTCATATCGACAACCTGTATCTATGTCAATTTCTATATAATTTTCATAAGTTAGGGCCTATATCATTTTTGACGAACAGCTACTATCCATACATAATACATGTATATTAAATGTATTTACATAACTGGATATTTATCTATTTACTTAGTATTTTCTAATCTGTTGACAGGTATAGCCCATTTACCAACAAGTAGTGGTCTTCCATGTATCAGTCTATCTTATTTCTAGCTGTCTATCTATCTATTTTCATAATTATATCTATCTACTGTCTATTCATTATCTATCTATCTAAATCGAGTAGTTCTATCTCCTTGTCTAGATGGGAATGAATCTACTGTTTTGTAACTATTCATCTATAAATCTATTAAATTCTATCTATCTGTTTAAGTAGCCGCATGCCTGTCTGGTTGTTAACCCCCCCCCCCCCTCCCCTCCCCCCCCCCCTCTCTCTCTCTCTCTCTCTCCCTCTTTCTCTTTTTCTCTCTATCTATATGTGTCTACATAAGGTGTAGAGGACGTGTTCTCTGTCATAGTGGATAAGTCTATGGACTGTGCGTGACAAGGTACAGGGTTCAAATCCCTGGCGGAGGACTGGTCCCTTGACAAGATCTTCATTTGCCAGACTCGACCTAGGCCTATGTCAGTGAGTACCTGGTATGATGTATTTCTTGAATTTACTGAACGCCAAGGTTGCTGGAGCAAAAGCAAGCCATCATTCGCAGATATATAATATACAAGATTATATTGGTAATATAATAAGCTTTTGCAAAGTTATTTTCTTTTAGAAGGGACATAACTTAATAACAGCTCCCCGTTACTGTGGCTCTGCCAAGACTGTATACATAAATGAACCAAGCTATTGTTATAATTCTCTTTCTTGTTTCCACTCAAATGTCCTTTTTAGGTGGTCTGTCGATGACAGATCACCTATTGATTTCGTTAGAATTTTCTTTCTTTATTCTTTATTCTTTATTCTTTATTCTTTATTCTTTATTTATTTTTATTTATTCCGTACACTTTTTTTGTGTATACGTTTACTCGAACTCGACCTGGTCAATTTCCTTCAAATTTCTGCTAGTCATCAGGCCCTATGATATGAAGTTCCCGAAACCTTTTTCAAGTTCATGGGGTCATCGTGACGTCATCCAGGCGCCATTTTGTAAAAATCAGGTCATTATCATATCTCGATAACGAGTTATCAAAAATCAACCATATTTGGTATACATCAACTTCAGGTCAAAGGTCAACGAAAAATGTCAAAAAATTTTGAGCGCGCACCTCGACGCGCACGTACGCGCGCATTAAAATTTAAAAATGGTCAAATTCGTTCCAAATTAATTTTGCATACGTTTCAGGCCATTTTAAGCATTTTCAAAATTTGCGCGCGCGTAATTATGCGCGCGCGTTTCCGCGCGTATCCGCGCGTCCTGGCATTTTGCAACATAGAATCGCCAATTTTTTTCTGTTATCATATTTATTACATTTTTCCAAGCATTTTGATACCTTGTTTACCTGTTTCCGACCAGTAATACCGCAATTAGCGGCTGTCAAAGTTGAACGCACGCGCCGACCTGCGCTATCTGTATCCACAATACATGGGCAAAAACATGCCTATACAAAATTCATTTTAACTCTTCAGAATTGATAGATAACCCCCAATTTCTTTCATATTTAAATAGATTATGAGTTGGAGGTATGATTTCATGTCTCATTTGACCCTCAATTAACTCATGACGTCATCATAATGGCCTCCGAACTCAAAATTTCAATTTGCATATTATGACGTCAGCAGATTTTTGGAAAATTGATTGTATCTCTGTAAATATTAATCAATTTTGTTTCAAATTTTGATATGTTCTACCTGAGAATATTCTCTACAAATACAGTCACCACGAATTTTCATTTTGACAATGGTATCATGGCGTATTTTTGCGATTAAAGGAGGCATGTCAATTTTTTACATTTTGCGTGTATTCTCTATGGGACATGACTTTTTCTCAAAACTGGATTCTACATTCTCGTCTTTTGCGAGCAATATCTCCGTCGTTGTATCTTTGTTTACGCTGAGCTTTGAGTATGTTGTAGCTGAGACAATAAGCTATCACAAATGTGCCCTTTATTTTGAGATCAGATGCCGGGATCATGCTCATATTTCACTTACAAAGTGGGATTTGAGAATTCAGTTTTCAGTTTACGTGTAATCTCTATTGGAAATGTTTTGGTATATCGGTAACGCACTTGACTTCCGACCTCGAGGTCCCTGGTTCGAGTCCGGGCGTTTCCAACAATTTTTTTTCTTCACTTTTTTTTCTTTTTGACCTTTCACTGTACCATCTCCTTTGAATATTAAAACACGTACAATCGCAAATAATGTAATAAACAACCATATTTACTTTAATATTACCCTATTATCACTTGATCCATTACTTTTGGCGTGTAATCCTTATGGGAGATGACTTTTTCTCAAATCTGGATTCTACATTCTTGTCTTTTGCGAGCAATATCGCCGTTATTTCGGCTTGATTTTTGTTGATTTTGGAGTATGTTGTAGCTGAGACTATATACTATCTAAATGTTCTCTCATTTTTTTCAGTCTGATGTCATCGTGGTCTGTTGATGATAATCATCAACATCATCATGATCATCATCATCATCATCGTCATCCCCATTACTATCAAGATCATCATCATCATGATCATCATGATGATCATCATTGTTTACATGTCTATATAACTTCTCCCTTTCTCAATATAGTAAATATTATAATCTATCATAAGACTTGAAGACAGACCACCTTAATCGTCCTCGTGACGATTTAAATTCTAGTTTATGTTTACTCTCGAAACAAAACAGGGTCGAGTGCCTGCACTTGATAGTTTATTCACCCACAATGGAACGTCCCAGGGGGAGAAAGAGAAGCATGAGAGAGAGAGAGAGAGAGAGAGAGAGAGAGAAAAAAAGGGGGGGGGGTGGGGTGGAGAGATGAGGGGGAACAAAGGAATTGTATCAAGCCAGTCTGGACAAGCGTGATCATGTGTAAACCTACTTCATATACAGCTATATCTTAATTTATGTATTAATTCTGCATGATACATTTCTTTTGGTAGACACACTAATTGTTAAAGACAAAATAATTAAATAATCTATCAATGAAACATATTACATTTCTGGTTCGATATCTAGAGCAAACCCGAAATCATACAGCAAAATAGCATCTGACATAATGAATTTACTCTTGATATATTGCTCTAGTGTTGCTACATATTATAACATGTCATATTGGCAGTGAGATATCAGCGAAGCTCACTAATTCCGTGACGCATTCAAAAGTCCAAGAACAGGTAAGCTACTTTGGAACATTTCTTCGAAAAAATAAGCTATAGAAAATCCTAAATCTGTTTTTCGGGAGCTACTTATTCCCAGTTCTTGGTAGAGAAGAGAAGATGTGTATTATCAACTTACGTAACACTTGGCATAATATCGATATCACTACAGCCGTGTAAATAATGAAAATCGTGGAACTGGTTTTCATTTTTTAGCATTTCGTTGGAAGTCACGACTATTTTCCCTTTTCGGGGTTACAACACAAGTCATACTCAATAAACATAAATCTCTCTAATGAAAGTACCAATATTTTCACTTTGATCCATTGTTTTATAAGCCACTGTTCAACGATGCCTGAGTGAACCACATCTGTAATGCATGGTACGAAAAATTATTGTAAGCACGTACATGTGCATTAGCTATTCTATTCGGTCACCAACAAACCATTTCCAGAGGGGTGCTCGCCGTTGTTTGGAACAGCCTGTCAAGCTGCTCTCCGACAGCCAACCCGCGCTCTCCGTTCTCCCCGCACTTCATTGGTGCAAAAGTTAGCTATAAATTGGTGGTGTTGTTGCATCTCGATTTAATAATTGGAAGCTCTTCAGCCAGGAGAAGAGCATCTATATCTTTGGAGTTCCATTGGGATAATTCTACCCATTACTGGGACCAATTATGGATTTCAAAACGTTGTTAGTCCTCGCTTGCGTAGCGGCTGGATCTCTAGCTGGTATGTTCCAATTTTGCTTTTTAAAACATTGTTGTTCTTCATATATGTTCTTTCTTCATTATTTCACTATGTTACTCCTCATCAGCTCATCTAGTATTTGATAGAAATATTATATACATCCTTTGCTTTTCATAATCTAGGACAAATATTTTTCTGACGATGTTTAAAAATCATCGAGATGAATTCCTTGCATATTGAGCATTGACAAGTCATCTTGTTTTTTTTTTTTTAAATCGCATCTGACGCCATGTTATATATTCCTTTTCACTTAGCTTATATCCATCCATGGCATATGTCGGGATATGCGAATTATATTTGTTTGTGTTTGACATAATTATACGATATAAATAATGGCCTACTGACATGAAGGATAACGATTATTGAATGTGAGATAGAGAGAGAGAGAGAGAGAGAGAGAGAGAGAGAGAGAGAGAGAGAGAGAGAGAGAGAAGGAGAAGATATAGGTACAAAAGAGATGAAGAGATGACATAACCACAACTCGCAGCTGGTGTCGTCCTAAACGTGACAATTCTTATTTTAGCATGTTATTGATTAAACGAAATCTTAAACTTGGTTCTTCATGGTTCGCTTGATCAGTTGATTGGTGCTTCAACTGCCTGATTGATTGATTGGTGTACAACAAAAGACAATCGATTTTACGAACTAATCCCAAAGACTCAAGTGGATTAAAGTTCTTTTTTAGAATTAGATATTGACGGACGGGTCTACTTCTCAGCGCCTTCCTCCAATGTGTTACCTTTTGTTTCGGAAAGTTTTCTCGCTTTTCACCTGCTTTTGCAGAGTTCATTTAGTAAAAGCAACCCAACATTATTATTTAATGACATTGCTTTTGTTCTGTGAGCCCTGTGTAACTACATTTTAAGTTAATATTAAACCTCTTCTGATATACTGTCATTCATTAGACAAGACATAATAGACCGGTTTACTGACATAATAATATACCTTTTATACCAACTGTTTCGTCTCTCTTTTCAAAAATACATGCACAGGGAATTTTAGCCCCACTGTCCTACCTGTAGCTACTTGCTCCCTCTATATGGATAACTTCCCCAATCGGTGCCTGTTGATCCCCCATGATCCTCTTTTTCTTATGTTAGTTGAGAGCTGAGTTAATGAGATAGCCACCTGTCAGTGACCTTGCTGTGTGGTCTAATCCCTTCTGGCCCAGTGGTATTGACGGTCTTTAAGCGATGGCTCAGTACAAAATAACGAACTTGGATCACGTGTGTCCTTGCAACTTCAAATTCAAGTACTCCATCTCCATACAATTGTGAACGCCCTTAGATTTATGATGCCAAGGTCCTTTTACTTTTAGCTCTGGTGCAATATTTCAACTTTCAAAACAAGTTCGCAGCTGCTTTTAAAACTCAAGCCCTGCCCATCACTATACATTACAATTACTCATTACGTAATCGGAACGCCTGAAATTTTCCTTGTTGATTTTTTTTCGAAAGTCCTTGTGATTTCGAAACAACAAGGAAATCCAACAAGATTGAAGGTTTCCTTAGTCCGCGAAGGACAGGAAATTTAAAACGAGGTTTATTTATTGTGTTTGTGTGTTTTTATATTGCTCTTTGAAGAAAGACGTAGAAGATAAGTCAATAACCTTGCATCTAAACATTGCCACGCTTTGTCAGGTAGGTTTATTGACACATTTATTCCAGGGTCCGAGTAGGAACGTTCTTGGAAAGTACTTTTTATTAACTGCATGTAAACAAACTTGTACCGAGTAAAACAGCTGGAGGTTGGCTCGTCTCCAAAGCCAAAGCTCCTTTCTCTAACACAAATATAATCACACAACTAATCTGCTTCCTTTCGTATTTTCGTTTTCCAATTCACGAGGTGATGAGGAATAAATATAAATATAAGCTAGGTTTATATTATAACCCCGTCCACGTTTGTGAACAGGATGCTTTCGGTCCTATCGTTTAATTTATATTAAAGAACCTTTTTTTATTCTTCAAATATTTTCTTTAAGTGTCTAACTTATTAAACTTATTTTTCTGAAGTATGATGGGAGATGTTGACCTGAAGTAAATTCGTGTGGTTCAAATATTTGTGAACAGCTTTCTTTGTTGAATTTGAAATCTAGAGTAACAAAATCTCATTATTAACTGTTTGATTTCATCTGTGTTTATTTGTTATTTTACAGGACCAGTGAGGGAAACGCAATGTGCAGAAGAATGCAATAGTCGAGGTAAGAATACATTCCTTCTTTTTTCTTCGTCAAGATCATTGGTTTTAGATGATCATCTATTAAAACAAAAGTCATGTAGGTTTGTATCATGAATATACACACTGTACTAGGGGTATGTCAAGTTTTGTGCAGAGTTCGATAAGAGAAGTCGGTACGTGAGAGACCAAACTTTCACCAAAGGCCAGAAGAGAACATGAGAAAGAGAGTGAGCAAAAGAGAAGAATAAAGAGATGGAGAGTGCTAGCTTGGGAACAGTGACATTAGAGGTCAGAAGAGAAAATGGAACAACAAGCAGCCACAAAACTTGGCTGCTTGAAGGTAGGGGCCATAAAAGGGTGCATAACATGTAGGTACTCGAGATTTGCATCATTTGTTTGTGCGTCACGGTGAGGGTTTCTCGGTAAAGATAATCACTTTCCTGAAAGGTTGCACGTGTATACCCAGCTGATCATTGTTTACATCAACTCGCTCTCCTATTGGTCAGATTAGAATAGGTCATGGACCTAGATCCAGCTGTTTGTACCAATTTTGTCATTCTTTTTTATTTACTAAAAAGGTAAATGTTGATGGGAATTTATAAAATAAATTTATTTACTCTATCAATAAATTTGTTTTTGCATATTAGATGATTAAAATATATCTGCTAGACGATAAATATGAAAATCTGACTGTAAAACTCTGGCTTTCAGTTGTGTATAGTTTCAGTACGTTTGAGAACTTCTACTTAGATCTAGATCTACATTCAACTGTATTTGGCAGCGCAGCTTTACACTCGGAAATGGCCGTATGTATTTTGAAATCTTGTATAAGTTTTATCTCATGGTATATACTGACTAGGAAGACAAAATAATTTCATTTTTATTCCATGTGGAATAAAGGAAAGTGAAAGTTTTGAAGCTTCAGTCACAAGTTCAGTCCCATTTGATAATTTTGGTGTCTCCCTTTTATTTTCATGATGTCCAATGAGTTGAATATTTTAGAAGTAGATTGAGTGAGACTCGGAATGAGAGAGGTGTCAATTATGTTTGTTTGCTTAGTAAACAGCTGTAATATGCAATGCATTGTAAATGTTGGGTATTTGATGAATTAACACTAACATTAACAATAACAGACACTAAAGAAAACAAAGAAAAAAGGATGAATTATTTTTCATTATGTTTATAAAATAATGTGCATGATGGGAATGGAATTAGAGTGCATTTAATTTATGTTCATTGTATGAAATAATATTTGAATCATGTGGATGTTGCTAAAGGGATTCGGTATCTTTGTGTCACTCTCAGATTCTAAACAAAATTCTAGATTTAGCTCATGCTGCAATCACACTTTTTAGGTCATTCTGGATGAATCTCATGACGTTTATACAAGTCGATCGCCCATCTGATTATCAAGATATTTAACATTCTATTTGGGAAATGAGTACCGCAGGCCTATATGGTAAAACCGGTCACTCAAAAAAATGTACTTTTTGAGGCACTTCATGATAATTTTGAAGCGCAATTCTTTTAGGGCTTTCACAGTCGCTGATAACACGTAGGGCCATGCATCTCAGATTTGACATTTTTAAACAATGCCTTTAAGCATGTTGAAGATTGAAGATGGTGATGGTGGTGGTGATGGGAGTTAGGATGATGAGGGTGAGAAATGAGAAAGGGGAGAGGATGGTGATGAGGAGGAGATGATTAATGAGGATGATGGTAGGGGTCATGAGGATGATAATGAAAACAATGATATTGGCAAGTCTAATCATGTGAAGCATAAGTGAAACATAGAGCTGTATCCCTATCAGAGGGACTGGATTAAAGCACTACCATCTCACCCCCTCCCTTTTTAAAAATACTTATAATGTTAAACTGGGACCTCAAGTTACGATTACGTAGACATAGACTGAATTTGAGGAGTACTTATGAAATCTGTGTGTAATTTATCTTGGGCAGATGACGAGGGAATGTTCAGAGCTTTCAAGAGCTACTACTTCTCATATGACGTCGAAATTGACAGCAGAATCAGTGGCCCGACCAGTGACCAGTCCTCTACCGTCCGTATTGGGGCCGTAGCTGTCATTGAAGGTCTCTCGGCATGTGACATGGTGCTTAAGGTAAGCAAATTGACGAGCGGTAATGTATCGCTTTAATTAATTTTTTTTTGGGGGGGGGGGGCAAATTAATAATAATAATAATAATAATAATAATCTTTTAAAGTCCACTCCAAATTTTATTAAACCGAAACGGAAATTCTTTTTGCCCAATTGATTGTGAGCCCGGCAGCCACTGAGCAGCACCAGATCGACGTTGCTCTATCCCTTATTGTTGAACGCCAAACAAGGTAGCAGCAACTCCCATCTTTTAACGTCTTTTGGTATGACGCAGCCGGGGTTCGAACCCATGACCTCCCGGTTGTGAGGCGGACGCTCTACTGACTGACCTGACCAAGAACAAATTCATTGTTTGTCATCCTTAGTATATTTTGAAATCTACACAGATATCCTAAGATAGCAGATAGATAATATAAAAACACATCTTTTTTGCAGTTTGTAGTTGTAAGACTGTTTTTCTTATTACATGTATTTATTTAATTTTTATTTTCATCCAC